CTCTTGTTGCTCCCAAATTGGTGTACATGGCCTTATATTTGATTTAGTACCACTCTGATTTGGATACATGTTATGCTACCATCATCATGTTCGTATCTCAAGCCAACTTTTGGGGTGCTGCTATAACATAATCCGTATCTCAAGCCACAATTTTTCCAAACGGGTATGGCCAGATTTATTAGAATTTCTGGTTGTTGCTCTGCAGTGTACCACTTGCCTTTTATAATGCTACCAAAGTTGGTATTGTCTGTAGCATGAGCGCCAAAGGCTTCCCAGTATATCCATTTTTACATGTGGGTGTACTACTAACAATCGTTTTCACTTCCAGCTTGGTGCTGCAAGGAGACCTAGAACCTTGACTAACAACGCACCAACATGGCACTTATTACTGAAGTTAGTAATGTATGATGCAATACCTAACACAACTTTTAACCTTATATAGGTACCAGAGGTATTTCCAGAATTTAATTAGACCAATCCTTTTCCACAGATCTTTACTATATCCACCACTTCGCTCATCACTCCCAGTTTGGACATTAGTATTACCCTCCCAAACAAGATCCTAGACCCCTGGGTTGTTGGTGTTACCATGCAGATTTATCACTATATCCACTGCTTCACTCGTTACTTTCAGTTTTAGAACATTAGTATTACCCTCCCAAGCAAGATCCCAGACCGCCTGGGTTGTTGGTGTTATCTAAGTGCCTCAAGGATTTATACACGCAACCTATTTGTCCTAAAACCTTCTATGATACCGCTTGTTAAACATAACGCCAACTCTCTATAGTTTTGATTTCCACAGATTAACATGCGCAACCTATTGTCCAGACCTTCTATGACGCCGCTTGCCAAACGTGATGCCAACTCTCTATAGTTAAATCTCCTTTCAGGAATTTCTTATCAAATCCGTACTATACTTGGATTTCCACGGGGCTCTATATTCGATTTTGGCTCCTCATCTGTAGGTTACAGAGTTTTTTCCACCTCCAGCCTAACTTGAACCGTGGATCTTAACCTAATTTCCATGGGGGTTTGGCAACTTAACAATTAAGCTATAAGGCCCAAACCCTAAATATTAATTTTAAAAATATAGTTCCTAATACAATATTGTAGTTTAAACAAAAGATAACAACTTTCATTATTAAACTTTTAGTAATTTACTTATAAAAATTATGATTTAGCTTAGAAGCAAAGATTTATATAAAGGCGAAAAACATATAAAATTTAAAAAAATTTAAAGAAAAAATTTTATAGTAAAAATTTTGATACAAGAACTTCAAACTTTTATTATACTAAAGTTTTCTAATAATTTTAAAAAATTTTCTTAACAAAGTTAATTAAACAAATCTAAAATTAAATATTTTATTTAGAAAATATATAGCTAAAACCAATATTTAAAATTTTATTAAAAAAATTTAAAATTTAAAAAAAGTTGCAGACAAATTTGGCTACAAAACAATTTAAAAAATAAAACTTTAATTTTATTTACTATGCTCTTCAACTTACTGTGGTCATTAAATAGCACCACCAGTATATTTTCAGTTTTTCTATTTAATCTTAATCTACTAGACCTTCGGTTGGTTAATTGAATAAAAATTTCTAATTTCTTTTTATTGTATTCATATAAATTTTAAACGAAGGAATCTTGCTATTTTCGAATTCTACAAATTAATAGGATCTGAAAATAGTAAACTAAACCATTGAAATATCTAGTTCAAAGTTCAATTGTAAGGATGAAAATTTGGGTATCGGTTGGTGTTGAAAAGCACAGTAATAGAGTTAATACCTCAATCCGGATATATTTTTTATATCCGGATTAATCCGGGTTTATCATAGTATAAATCCGGATTTAAACTTAAATCTGAATGTATTTATCCCTTAAACCATCAAGCGTCTATATTTGGATGCTTAAATTTATAGCCATCACGTGAGTTTGTGCGCTTTGTTTGGGTCGCCTCTATGATTTGTGTTATGTGGCTTGATTCTTTGAGAGTCTCTGTAGCCAATTAGAATAAAAATTTGGCAGAATAACTTTTTTACAGAGCTCTATTTATATTTAGAGTTCAAATTTGAACGCCTTATTGGGACGGTTTAAGGGATATCCGGATTTAAAAATATTATGTCACATTATATTATATGACATAGTATATATCTGGATATATAAATCCGGATAGAGGTATTAACTTTACACAGTAATAATACTTGTATATTATCACGCAAATTTTTGTTAATATGTAATTGTTGCTTCATAATCATATATGTGGGAATATTTTGTGATTATATTTATTGTAATAATTCATTAATGGATTATTACTACATACATTTTTGATTAATAATATGTTATACATATAAATATATAAAAGTAGTTCTTTATTAATAAAGTAGGAGGACCTCACAAAACTTAAGCAATGCTCAAAGCTAATCAGCAGAAGCTAGGTATTATATATTCATAAGTTGTGCTAAATTCTAACCTATATGTACATAATAATCACTTTGATACGAATTTTAAGGTTTGGGTATATGTGGACTATGGGCCAGGTCAGGCTCACTCAAAGCTCACCATAGCCTGGCCCAGCCCATGTACTAGATTTTCTAAGCGGGTTTGGAGCCGCATTAGGCTTAAAATATTTTTGTCAGATTTATGAAAGCCTGGCCTGACCCGGCCCATTCCAGACCCTACTTGCAATACAGCACATGATGACAGAGATCTCAGAAACAACAGAAAGAGATATGAAGTGGTGTAGAAGTGTAATGTTACTTTACTAAGAGCAGTTTAGTATAGTTTATTTACAGTTTATTCAGAGAGCAAAAGGTATATATTTATTAATAATACAATATTTAAAATACAAGACTATCAATAGGTATCTGTGTCTAAAGAATTCTAATAACTAAAGATTGCAGAGAACTAATTCTAAAGCTACAGGAGGGCAAAAAGCTAGGGTTTATATACTTTTACAAATACTAAGAAAATATTATTATTATACAAAATACAGATAATAGAAAAGGTATAAAAGGTATAATAGTATAAAATATATAAAAGGTCCAAAAAGTACAAAAGTATAAAAGGTATAAAAGGTATAAAAGATACAAAAAGTATAAAAGGTATAAAAGATACAAAAGGTATAAAAGGTATAAAAGATATAAAAGGTGTAAAAGATATAAAAGATATAAAAGATATATTTTTAATTATCTGACCAACTATTGGTCTGTTCTTTATGTATTATAGCTTATTATGATCGTGGAGATCTTCTGGGTCTCATGAAGGTATCCAATCCATTCTATAACAATATAAAGAAGAAAATATATAGTCACAAAAACTAAAATACTTATACCTTGTAATCTACTAAACTAATTTTAATATCTTAACTACTATTCTGATTGCAAAACTCTCCTCTACAACTTTTCTTAGAAGTTGAAAATAGGTTTACTTAGTAAAAAAAAAAGATTTTTTTAAAAAATTCCAAATTTGAAAATTCTAAAGACAAAAAAAAATTTTTACACTACTAAGCTACTACTGAATCTGAACATGTTCATGAATTTTGAACTGAATTTAAACTAAACCAAAACTTTAAGTTCAGGTTTAGTTCAGGTTCATAAATTTAAAGTTTAGTTTAGATCCAGATTCAATGATCTGCAAAATTTGTGGTTCATGTTCAGGTTTAGGTTTAGGTTTATTGAATCTGAACTGAACTAAACTGAACCTAGAAACCCTAATTATAGTTTTATTCTTTAGATTTGATTTTACTATTTTATAAAAAGAGTTGGTTTATAACTATTTTAATTTTTTATTTATAACTATTAAAAAAATATATATTTTATTTGCACTGTACTATATATTTAATTTAAAACTTTTTATTATTTTTCTTAAAAATTTTATAATAATTTGATATAAATTACCATATATTGTTAAAGATTACTTTATTACATATTTGAAACTGTTAATAGAAAAAATTAATGTGGTGGCTGATACTGAAAATTTGCCATATTTTATTATGAAAATTGTAAAATTTTTTAGAGCCTTTTTTGTAGTCATTTTTTTTATAGTTAGATTAGAGTTAGAGGGGTAGTTTTATTAATAAAAGAGTGTATGTGGGTTTTAGTAGGTATTATGGGTTTAAATAGAGACCCCAAATTTTCAGCATAATCTATTTTTAGCATCAGCCCCCACAATTAATATTAATAATATGTGTATAAATTTTATTAAAAGATCTTATTACATTCATAACATTATATATATTTTTCAGAGGATTTTTTCTTATTGTTTATTTTAAGAAAGTTATAAGGAGTTATATAAAAATTTTCTGGTAAAATTTATTTTTTTTGATTTTACAAAACCTCCTAATGTTATAGGCTAGTATAATAATTCTACCTTTTATGAACAGCTTTCAACACCTTTAAAAACCTATCTCTTTTTTGCTTAGGTTTTTCAATTGTGAGAAAAATATCTTTTGACCGTTTTTTCTTTTTCAGCTTCATCAATTTCTTTTCTTCTTTCCATTTAGCCTTCGTTTCAGCTTTAAATTTTAAAAAGTTTTCTAATATTTTTTGATTTTGTCGTGTCATTATTTCAGCTGTGGGAACGAATTTTGAATGAAGGATACGACGAATTGATTCAGGTGAAATTTTAAATTGTTGAGATAATTTTTTTGGAGTGTTTTCTTCCGGAGACTAGTAGAAAAGAATTTTTTTTAGAAACCTTAGAAAATATTAGACAAAATTTTAATATATAACGTCACCTGATGATACAACAATCGAATCTTGTCCATAATTTCCCTAGAAACTCTTTTTTTCGGACACCATTTATGAAACATTGTTCTCTCTTGAATTGCATATTTATGTTTCAACCAATTCGGAAGATTTTCACGATCTCTCCAATCTGGATCATAATCTTTCGGAAATGCATTTTCATTTTCCCAAAGCTTTTCTAAATCTATAGATTTCATTCTCTTAACCTCTTTCTGACTAGACGAATGTGACCCATTATTTAATGCAGGAGGACGATTTCGTTTATTTATCATGTTTAATAAAAATGCTCGTCTACTTAGTTTGGACCCATGATGTAAACCATTTTGATTATTTACATGATCAAAGTAGGTTTGAGGGTTTTCTATTAAACGAGGAGTGATGGGCGGATATTCTTCAGAAGCATTTTTTTTTATTAAAAACTCTAAATATTTTGAAAGTGGTTTGTCCTTTGATTTTTGAGTCGATTTTATCTAATTAGATACAAAGTATTAAATGTAATAATATGAATAATATTATAATTGTTAAGCAAAATCAATGTAAATGGCGACCCAGAAAAAAATGCATCCTTATGAAATGGCGAAACTTGGAATTTGAATGCTCGACAAAGGTATACAAAGGACCTGGTGAAAGATGAAACCTTTGAAGAAAGAAATCTCATATTCGCGTACATTTGGAATTACTATTAAAAATGACAAATCTTTGACAGTGAATAACTTTGATCCACCGATCCGTTTTGGATGATGGTCTCATCGAGACGGTTGAAAATCACCTTCCGACATTTCTGATCGGGCTAATTTGGCAAAAACAAACCCAGCTATCACTTCATATTTATGTGTAAATTATCTTTTACTTTATTGATTTAATAGTTTATTCAATAAATTATTGAATCAATAAAGGTAAAAGATGATTTACACATAAATATGAAGTGGTAGTATTAACCCGATCAGAAATGTCGGAAGGTGATTTTCAAGGCAAAGATCCAAACCTTCAAAAACGAACCAGTGGATAAAAATTATTTATTGTCAAAGATTATCATTTTTAGTAGTAATACCAAATAAGCGCGGATATGCTGAAAGAAGCCAACGAAAGCATTTCAATGGTTTTGTGATATGCGTAGCTTATATGGAAGAAATTTCAAAATCAGGCCTTTAAATTTACTAGCGCTAGCCTATTTAACTGTCCCAAGCATTTTGGCATTTCCCCGTCCTATTCTGGGGTGCGTCAATTCACACATTATACAATTTCACCACCTTTCGCCAATTTCGTTATTTCGCCCTTTGAAATTTTTTTAACGAAAGTGAAACCAAGTTTCGCCTTTCGCCAATGGCGAAGTCTCCTTACAACCATATACAATATTATACTAATATCGAAAATTAATTACTTTCTCATGATCACCAGCAGCTTTTCCTCGTGTTAAATTGCTAAGCACTATATTTCTAGTTTTAACGTCCTTTGCTTGTTGTTTAGCTAAAAGTCTTTCTTGTTTTATTTTCTTATTCCTTATCCTTTCAATCGCGTTTTTAGCATTTGTTGGGCCTCTTAGGAAATCTCGTGGACCAGCCTTAAGAATTGATTTAAAGTCTCTGATATTTAGTAACCTACTTGTAAGTCTAGTTGCCATCCAAACGCAAATGGGTGAAAAAATCGAGGTTTGGATAAGGTGGTGATAATCTATATAATGCAATTTTTTCGATCGATCAGATACACGAAATCTTAGTTTTTCTGATCTCACAATTTAATTGGCTTGATCACATGTAGAATTTTTTTTCATATAAATTCAGAAATTTATCACTCGGTTATCGTTATCCAGTTTAAAAAAATTTGTGATGTCAGAAGAATCAACAAAAAAGAAACTTAGTAGAAAAGAAAGGCAAAAAGTAAAAATTAAATTATGTATTTTTTTTCAATTGAAAATGATGATAAGAACAAATTTCGAATTCTATAATGGATAATTGAATTCAGTTATTGAATTCCATCTGTAATGCTAGTTATAATATTAGTCATAGTTACACTGATTCAAATATTCGAAATCCAACATATACCATTAGTATTTTTGGACAATAACAAAATCATTTAATTTTTATAGCTTCGAGAGGCAACGGCAGGGCCTGGATGGTTCGATATGCCAAAACCTGAATTAACACCTGAGATAAAACGAGATCTTCAAATTATAAAAATGAGAAATGTTCTTGATCCGAAACGGTTTTACAAAAAAGACAATTCCAAAAGTCTTCCAAAATATTTCCAGGTATAAAATAATTAGACATTGTTCTATTCACCAGTATAATATTTTATTGAAAAGTTTTTTTTTTTTTTTATCACTTTGAATTTATAGATTGGAACAGTTATTGAAGGACCAACGGAGTTTTATTCATCACGATTGTCACGTAAAGAAAGAAAGAAAACAATTGTTGATGAGCTAATGGCAGATGAAAAGGCCAAAAAATACTATAAACGCAAATTTTTAGAAATCCAAAAGGTGTATTGTTTGTATATTTTTTTGTAATTTACATATTTTGAAGTATTATATATTAAAACCTTATCATTTCATAGACGAGGCAAAGTGGAGGGAAAAAGCATTATAAACAGCTCAGAAAGAAAAGAAGGCCGAAGTGGGAAAAAGGATTTTAAGTTCCTTGCATAATTATCATAACTATCAAAGAAGACACGAATTTTTAAAGTCACAAATCACCGTTAAGTATATTATATAATCTGCTTTTATAAACTTACATTTAGAATTTAAATTACAATATCTTCAAAATATAGTAAATTATGGTAGATACATTATATTATATTTAATTAAAAAAAAAAAGGGAGCTTTTCGCCGACGGTGACAGTAATCAAGTCAAGGTTAGATTTAGACTTAAGATTATATTAGGAGTAAAATGTCTCGAGGAGCATTTATATTAATCTATATTAAATGATTTAATAGTGTATTGGCAAATGATTATGGTAATTTTCAAACTCTAACTAAAGGTGGTTCCATAAGTGTAATTTTGAGTTATGGCGATATGATTGGCTTTGCTAATGTCAACGCCAGTGATAAAATATTTGCCCATTAATTTAATTAAGCAAGCTATAAAAAGATCTTAATGTTATAATGATATTAATTTTGTTTAACGGTTAAATAAGAATTCTCGGATAAAATTGCCGATTTATAACCGATAACTTTGTATATACTGTATTGTCGCGGAATAACGCCCACCCGCTCATTATTTTGAGTACGTGGGCGTTATTTTTGAGACAGATAAAATTCTCCTAAACTTGCCTGTTATATCTAATTATTTGTTGAAACCCTAATATGGAGTGCGCGTCATTTCGGGACGCGTATGCATGCTGTTTTTAGGAGGCACAATTTTCTAAATAACTCCATTTCGCGACAATATGGGTAATTTATTTAGCGATTGAAAATTGAAAATAATCACATTATTGTCAATTGAAGTAAGAACTAGAATTGTATATCTGTACTGTATGTATAGGGGACGTTGCCAAGAGAAATTGAGACTTTGGTTTCAAGTACATTTACTATTTATTTCCCACTTCGGGGTAATAAGGGTGTTTAGAAATTGGAACCGATTAATTTTTAACCGACGATTGCAAATACTGAATTAATTGGTTGAAAGATTATAGCGGTTAAAAGCCGGTTAATAAATATAAAAAAAGTGATCATTTTTGAATTCGAGCGTTTTATTGATTTACATTATTACAAAAAGACGTTAGACGTCAGGAATAAGTTTTAAACACTTTTTCAATGAAATCTGCAAGGTCAAGATCACGTTTCGAAAGACCATTGCATTCGTGCGTGGTGAGAGTAATTTCGACCCGGTTGTACACCTAACATGGGTATGTTAACATAAGATTTAAATATCGAAAAAAAACTTAGAAATCATCCTTACATTGAACCATTCTGGATGGTGATCAACCTTTAAGAAAAAAGAAAAATTAATATTCATTTATTTAGTATCTTTGAAACGAATAAATAAAACTAACTTTGTCGGCTCTCAAAGCTACTCTAGTCATAAACCCAAAGGCTTCATTAAAATCTTTAAATTTAAACGTTTTTTTTACAGCGTCACGTCCTGAAACTAATTCCCATGATTTGGCTTCTAACGTCTTGATTTCTTCTTCAGTTAGTTTTTGAACCATTGTATGACGACGAAATAGTGGACGTAAAATTTGCATAAATCGTAAAGTTTATACTGTAAAAAATGACATCATACATTATTAATATGATAAATTCAACGTTCAATGTTACACAAAAGTTCATGTATTTTCACATGATAATCAGCCAATCAATTTATGAGCTTCAAAAGTTCAAAAGCGAAGCAAAATTGAATATATAATGAATTTAATTTCAAAATATACACCCAATATTTGCTGCGAAATAAACAATATACTGTATCTTTATTTTTGTTTATTTAATTAATAACCTAACTTCGAATAGTCATAATTTATAGAAACACATAAATAATCTATGTTTAATTCTATATTAAATATACAATAATAATCTAATAGTATGTGTAATATCTATAATGTGATATTTATGTTTTGGATGATGCTATACGTTATCAGGAAATTTTTGAATTGGTTTGCAATCAATTGACAGAAAGAAATGTCAATCAATAAGCAGCATCCCTGTTGATTACTAGCAATACTGATTAGAATCAATTGATAACAAAGCTGCTAATTAAAATCGATTAGAATCGCTTTGATTGAAATCAATTGATATCAAAACTAAATTAAGACTGATTATTTTTTAATTGATTGTGTATCGATTAGCTACCAATATCAATTATTGTCAATTTTTCTAATCGATAGCAATCACTTCTATAGCTGGTAATCAATATTTACCCTATTTAAAAATTTCTTAATGGTCTATATGTTTCTTATCTATCTTCAAGATTATATGCAATAAAAATATATATATATATCAAAATATACATAGTTAATTCATATTATAATATACTGTATTGTTTTGGCCTTTTAGAAATTTTATTCATAAAGCATCTAATAAAAAAATTCTGTAAACTAACACTTTGATATATATTACTCTTGTTAGATCGTTATCTTTAACTTTTTTCTAGTTTTTACTACTCAATGTCTAGTATTCATAGTTCAGTGTTTTATAATTACTTATTCTCATATATATAGTCTGATCTCTTTATAATCATCTTCTATATAAGTATATTTTCTTTATAAGCTTATTTTTTAAAAAACAAACTATTATTTAATATAATAAATAAATTTAACCTCTATCCCTTAAATTGTTTTGCAGCCAAATTTGCCTGCAAAATTTTTTAAAATATAAATTTTTTTAATAAAATTTT